GCCCGCGTTCCGTTCCCCCCGCTGCAGGCGGGCTGTTCCCTCTGCCCACCTTCCCCGTCCCTTCCCCGGTGCCTCTCACACCAGTGGATGGGACTCGGCAATTTTCATAGTCTGATGTTGGAAAAATAGTAATTTTTTTAAGCCTTAAAGCAAGCCCTTGAAAGCTGAGCAGTCTAGATGAGCAGCATGGATGCTGCTTCATTGGCAATACACAGTACTTCATTATTACACTGGTTTTTCTTCATTTCATTTCCAAAGTAGGCTTACTTTGCGCTTTGGAATCAATTGATTTTTGGACAGTACTGTTCTGTTCCTCGATCTAACTTGGTATATTTTCTTGAGCTGTTATTGCTGTCTTTGTAGTCCCTAAATAATAAGCTGAGGGTTTCTCTTCCAGGATGTTTGTGCTGTGCTTGTCCAAGGCTGTCAGTTGGTTCTCCTTGATCAGGAACATCTTGTCAGCAAAGTCTGTCAGCTTATCCATCACTTACTCAACAGATACCAGGTAGGAAGAGTTTGGCCATGTCCCTCAATAAGCCAGTGGAACTCGGTCTTTTCCCAGGGCTATTGAGCCAACCTTCAGGCAGAGTTTCTTGGATTTTCACTGTATTACTTATTTTTGGGTAGTTGAGGCTCTGATCTGGCTCCTCATAAAATTACCTCTCAGTCAGAAGTGACTCACAATGGGAAATAGTCTTGGTTTTAGGACACTTGTACAGATTCATCCATTCCTGGTCAGGTGTGATCTCTGGTGGTGTGTGATTTTAACAAACTGAATCTCTGACCAGTTTCTCTGGGTTTATTGACTGCAGCAGTACAAGATCATATTTATGTTGACCTTTTCTGTTACAACAGGTGATGGTTGATGAGCAGAGCTTGAATTTCCTTCTCTCCTACTGCATCTCTGCTCTGAGGCAGTGCAGCTCCTGGACACATGTTGAAATTCTGCAAGCCTTAGCAGCACTTGTTTACAATAATGGGCCTAAGTGTCAGAAGGTGAGTTTACAAACAGAGAGAAAGTAACAACAAAAGTATTTGCACCACTGCAAAGTTGAATTTCAGTTGTATTTATTAATAATTATTATTCCCGTGTGGAATACTGTGTACCTGCAGGCTGCAGCTGTTGGGATCACCATTAAATAAGGGCACAGGCTGAGCCTGCAGACCAACCACCCTGTGCCTCAGGCAGGGAGACCACAGGGAGCTTGAAATTGCACATAACTCCCCAGGCAGGCTTCAGAAATCCATCCTGTAACCAGATCAGGGCTTTTGCTCAGAGGCTCTCGGGTATCAATCCTGTGTGAGCTCCTCGTTGCTGCAGCTGACAGAGTTTGGAAAGCTGAGTCCTCCTGCTGTCAGCAGCTCGTGGCAGCTTGCAGAGCAGTGTCTGCTGTTGGGCTGAGCATGGGGTGGTGATGCTCACAGCTTGGGAGCTGCCAACTTGTGTGGGCTTGGAGCCCATGGAGTGGCAGCAGCTTGGTGCAGCAGTTGTTCCTAGCTCAGCTCCATGTCTGGGAGGAGAGCATAAACTGGGACTCAGCTGAACTGTGCTCAGCTCTGTCCTTTCCTAATACAAAATAAGAGCACTTAAGGAATTAAGGTTTTCATGCTGTTTTTTGTATACAAAAATCTGTTTCTAGAATCTGAAATTGCAGCTGAGAATTTTTAGGGTTTGTTTTACTTCTCATTATCGTGCTTTGATTTTTGATTGGTAATGAATTCAATCAATTTCACTAAGTCAGGTCTGCTCTGCCCACAATGGTTATGAGTGGGTGACCTCTCCTTGTGGAAATTCATGAGCCTTTCCTTATATTTCCTCTCCCCTGCCCATCTGAGGGGCAGTTTTGGTGGGCACCTGGTGTCCAGCCAGGCTCCAGCCACCTGCCATGATGTTTATCCCCAAACCGCAGACCCAGGAGGCTGAGGGAGGAGCACTGACCCCTGATGGCTCTTGCTGCTTTGTTTTCAGTTCCTCCCAGACCTGCTGGGCAAGGCTGGGCTCCTGCTGCAGCTCAGTGACCCTGCCCAGCCTGACGTGGAGCTCAGGAGGGCAGCCGTGCGCAGCATGGCCAACCTGTGTCTCAGGTGGGTACAGCCCTTGCCTGGGGGTTACAGAGTGTGCATCTGCCAGCACAGGGTGTGGTGCATGAATTGGGAATGCTTTAGCTGTGCACAAACCCCTAACTCTCAGTCTTCCAGAAATAATGTTACAGGGGTTAGTTTGGGGAAGAAAAGAAAAGCTTTGTGCTGTTTTTTTTGTGCAGAAGGTTTCCTTTTGTCCTCTGTGTGGTAGAGCTGACCCTATCCATCCATCCATCCCTCCACCCATCCATCCATCCACCATCCATCCACCATCCATCCATCCATCCATCCATCCATCCATCCATCCATCCATCCATCCATCCATCCCTTTCCATCCCTTTCCATCCTCTGCAGGCTAACAGGGGGCTTGGGTGGGACTTTGTGTGACTTTATGAGCCTGTGGACAGACTATAAACCAACCTTGTGTCTCCTGCTCTAATTTTAGTGTCCCTGGGCAGCCGTACCTGGATGAATCCTACAGAAGTGTCTGTTTTCAAACTTTCCTAAGTGTTCTGCAGTCTTCAAAAACCACTGATGTGGATGACATCACTTTTTGCATGGTAAGTGTGAGTCTAATTGTCTAAAATACTTTAATTAGGAGGTTGTGCTGCTGGAATATATGGAATTTGGAATGTTGTCAATTAGGATTTTGCTTTAATCGTCCATAATTTATCATATTACTGTCCCAATTGAGCACAACTGTAACTGCCTTGAAAGATGTGAACCTGCAGTGTTTTGGGAAGGAAGAGTAAGTAATTCTTTTTTTTCAGTTACTGCAAAGTGCACTGAAAGGTGTCCAGTCACTTCTCAATGGTGGGAAGATGAAACTGATGCAAATTGACCAAATTGGAGCTCTGCTGGCAGTGTTAAAGGTAAATCCTTCAATCCACCTGGAGGAAGAGGCAGCCCCTGGGAGGTTCCAGGTGCTGTTCACTGGGAATCAGTAGAAGGTGAACAAGAGGGAGCAGAGAAGCCTGAATATGGGGGGAAATGGAGTGTGAGATGTTAGAGAAAAATATACTGAGTTTCTCTCACAGCATCTTCAGAATGTGAGAGGGAGATGGGGAAGATGGGGTTTTTTGGACCTGCTTGAAATCCTTCTACATGTAGATGGATTTCAGATGTTGCATGGAGATGTTGTACATGGGAGAGGCAGGACCTGGGGGTAGGAGCACAGCTGAAAATGGGTGAATTCAGTAAATCTGTGCATGAGAAAAGCCAGAATGCTAACATTTGTGTTCCTGTTGCAGAAATGCATGTTCCACGGGCTGCCAGGACTGAGCATTGAGGTGCCCACAGCCCTGTACCCTGCTCCCTTACCTCAGTATGACAAAAGGTCACCTGCCAAGCAGGAGCAGTCAGAACCAGCCGCCTCTAAGCAGACAGGGGTAAGCTGGGCTGCTCCTGTTCTCCAGCCTGTTTGTTGTGTTGTGTCTTACCTCTCATGCTGTTGGTGGCTCTTCACATCCTGAGCGTGTGGCACATTTAATTCTTTGCTTCAAAGGTGATGATTACAAATTCTGCACTGAGTAAAATTGCTTTGTGAACTCAGGTGACAGGGACAAATGGCTCTGCAGGGCTTGGCTTCCCTCAGTTAAGCTCTGTGCAACAATTATTCATCCAGAGCCAAGAATTCCTGGCCTGCAGGCACGGGATTGATGCGTGCAAACTCACCAAAGCTTTTGATTTTATAAGTCACGTTTTCTCTCCTAACACTTGCACAATTGTTTGACTCTTTCTTAGGGAAGTCAAGTTCATTTAAGACTGATTTCTTGCCTCATCTGTTCTGCTCAATCCTTCTACAGGTTATTTTTTAACGTGTGAATACTTTGGATTACTGATTATCTGAAAGACATTAGAGAAAATAAGGTTATCTAGTCATGCTGACTTGTTTTTATTTTGGTGCTGAAAAGGAAGGTTATTTAGTGTTACCTACTGTAAATCTGAAAGAACTACAGAAGTATTTAGTGCTGTTTAATCACTTTTGTGTGAAATATGATTTTTAGCTAAAAGTTTCCTTGGATATATTTTGCTTTAGGGATGAAGAAGCCCAAGGTTAGGTTTTGAGGCTATTCAGTTATAAACTGTTTAGTTAGGTATTACTGAAATTTTGTGCCTGTTGCTACTAATAGGCAGAATTTTAAAACTCAGATACTGAAGAGTGACTGTGTGTAGAGTATTGCAGAGACATGTAACTGCATTTATGTATTCATTAAACATTGACTAAAAAAATCCATTTTTTGTCTTAGAGCCGAAGAAAAAAGTGCAAGGGGAAACAAAAGAAGGGAGAGTTTGGAGAAGAAGGAAGAGAAGATTCAGGGGATGCAGGAGAAGAGTCGGTGCTGGGAGCAGCCATGGTGAAATTGCAGCTGGGGGATGTGCAGAGCAGCCCTTGCCCTCAGCCTCGTGTGTCAGACGTGTGTGCTGGGAAGGAGCCCCCGAGCTGGCAGCCCTGCAAACGCCTCAGCAGCAGCGAGTCCGAGTTCTCTGACACTGAGGGAG